ATCGGGCGTCATCTGCTCGTTCTGCCAGAAGGACTTCTACCTGCTCCAGAGCGCCGACCCGATCGAGATCTTCTCCTCCCCGACCGACTACTGCAAGCCTTGCCCGCCAAGCGCCGAGTGCTCGGACAACACCGCTCTCGCGACCATCGGCGTCCCAGCCGGCTATTGGCGCGCCAGCCCCTCCTCCGCCGTGCTGACGGCGTGCCGCGACTTTGGGGGCGACAGGGCCGGCGAGGCGCGGTGCGCCGGCAACGAGCGCGGAGCCAAGCAGGCGTCTCGCCGTTTGGAGGAGGCGGGCTTGGACGAGTACTGCGCTCCTGGCTTCACCGGCCCCGAGTGCCAGCTCTGCGCCGCGGAGAATCACTACCTCGTCGACGGCGACGAGTGCAAGGAGTGCGCTCCGCGCGACGCAGCAGCGGGTCGCATCGCCGGCATCGGCCTCGGCCTCTGCGTCGCGTGCGGCCTGGCGGCGTGGGCCTATAGCATGACGGCCTGGCGGAAGAAGACCTTCATCGGCCCTCTCCTCCGCTTTGCTGACCGCTCCGTCAAGTACTACGTCGGGGGCGGAATGACGGCCAAGCTCAAGATCCTGTTCGGCTTCTACCAGATCAGCACGGTCTTGTCCTCCACCTACTCTGCGCGGCTGCCGGACAAGTACACGGGCTGGACCGACAAGCTGGCCAACGTGATCTCCCATAAACTGGTCGGACTTCATTCTGCCAGAGCAGTGCCTCGGCTACGGTATGCGGCTCCTCGCCGTCGCTCTCTCGCCCGTCGCCCTCATCGCACTGCTGATGGGATCGGGAATAAGTCTGCGGCTCCTCCGCTGGCGTGCCGCGCCGGCGCCGCGCGAGGGATCGTTGTACGCGGAGGCGGCCCTCGGCATTCTTGACCTTACGCCGGCCGGCCTCTTCCTAATCTTCTGCTTCGTGCCCTCCATCAGCGCCTCCATCTTCCGCGCGTGGAGTTGCCAGGCGCTCCAGCTGATGACAGCCGCTGCTCACAACCCCGCCCCTCAGGCCTTGTTCTGCTGATAGGCCTACACCATCTCTCCGCCGAACGAGCGCCTGGAGCAGGTCTCCTACATGCGGCAGGATGCGAGCGTCGAGTGCGGCACCGAGAATCACGGGCTCATCAAGAATCTCGCCATCGGCTGCATCGTCCTCTGGCCCGTTGGCTCGTTGGTCCTCTTCACGTCGCTCCTCGCCGCTTGCTACAACTCGCTGAAGGCCAAGTCGCCGAATGCGCTGACGCGGGCCACCGCTTTCCTTCACCGCGAGTACAATAAGACCTGGTGCTGGTGGGAGGCGGTCGAGCTGGCACGCAAGCTCGTGCTGACGGGCTTCGTGCTGCTGATCCCGGAGATAAACGCCTTCCTTCGCCTCGTGGTGGCGATCCTCGTCTGCTCCTTCTACGCTGTCGTGCTCGCCGTCGTGCGGCCCTACAAGCGGGTCGAGGACAACGTGCTGGCCGTCGCCACGAGCCTCGTGCTCCTTGTCCTCTTCCTCGGCACCAACTGGAGCACCGTCTTCCTCGGCATCGAGGAGCGCTCAGGGATCGATGACGCCGATGCAGTCCTCGGCTTCCGGAGCCTCAATGCGATCGTGGACACGATGATCGGCCTCGTTGCAGTCGTGCTCGTCTTCTTCTTAATCGGCGCCGTCGTCGCCGCCCGCCGCGTCGCCAAGGTTCCCACGATCCGTCTCGTCTCGACCAAGCAGCCCCCCGAGCTGAGCATCGTGACCGGCCTCACGTGGCACCTGTTCCTCTCGCACATCTGGTGAGTCACGCAGCTAGGGAGGGTGGAATCCAGACCGCACGATCCAGCTCCACCCCTAACCATGTAGGTCGACCGGTCAAGACACCGTCGGGGTCATCAAGGGCGAGCTGCAGCTGCTGCTGCCGGGCCTCAAGATCTTTCTAGACGCGCGCACACAGTGACTGCTCATCGCTCTGCGTACGGCGACAACGCCTCTGACCGCGCATCGTGTCCTCACAGGTGGATGATCTCAAGGATATTGGGGCGCTGGAGGAGTACATCCAGCGCACGCAAATGATCCTCTTCTTCCTCTCGTGTGGCTACTTCCGCTCTCAGGCGCGCTCTCGCCGCCCTGTCCCGCGCTCGGTATCCTCTGGCTCTCAACGCACCCGAGTCTGAGCTGCGCCCCTCGACACTCCCCGCGGCTCACCGCCCGCCTGCTTGCGTGCCACCAGAACTGTCTCCGCGAGATCCGCTCGTCGCTCGAGCAGACCAAGCCGATCGTCCTCGTCCAAGAGGCGGACCCTGCCAAGGGCGGGGGGACGCTGCAGGCGCTGCGCGGCGAATGCCCCGAGGACCTGCGGCCGGCCATCTTTGAACAGGGCTTGACGCACACCATCTGGATGCGAATCAAAGAGTTTCAACGCGTCTCCCTCAAGACCATCGTCGAGGCGCAGCGGGTCACAGCCAGCCGCAGTCCTCTCGCACCCCCCCGAGACCTCAGCCCCGGCACCCTTGAACCGTAGGCTGTGCTCCTCTGCTCGCCCAACTATCTGAACCAGACCTCCCTCCCGCTCTTCGTGCCGGGCGAGCCCGAGAGGCAGTCGCTCGCCTTTGCCAAACAGACCCTCCTCTGGGCCTCGCCGGCCAACGCGGGCGCACAGGTCTTGGCCGACGAGATCGCCACCGCCTTTGCCGGTCTCACCGTCTCCACCGCCGAGGCGCCTGGGCCAGCGACCCACATGCTGCTCTACCTCAACGAGGACAGCTTCGTCAGCGACGCGCGGCTGGCCGAGCAGGTCAAGCAGGCGCGCGAGGACAAGCTGCCGATCGTCATGGCGCACGAGAACGACCCGGACCGCGGTGGCTGCCAGTTCTCGAGGTTTTTCGAAGTCACGCCGCAGGAGCGGGCCGGGGTTGGGGTCATGATGCACTCAATCTCAGGCGCCTCAATCTCCCCCCATACGCGTGCCCTTCCTTGTAGGAGCTCATCGCCGACGGACTCTACAAGAGCCTGGCACGCTCGTGCTTCCCGGGGCGCCACCACCCGGCGCGCGCTTTGTCTCTCTCCACATCTTGCCTTGCGCATCGGCGGTACACTCACCAGCCAGGGCGCTCCGCTCCGCAGGTGTCGCTTGCGCTTCTGGCAAAGGACCTCGGCGCGACTCCCGCTCGGTCGGGCAGCGTCGCCAGCATGAGCCGCCTCTCGGCCAGCATCGCCGAGCACGGCAGCCGGCTCGTCCTCAAGATCAGCCGCCGCAGCTCTGCGACGGCAACCACCGTGGGCGACGGCTCTGGAGGCGGGGCGGTGCCCTGACTCGGTGGAGGCGGCGGTATGGGGGCTTTCGCGCAGCGGTGTGCTGTGCGCGGCGCGCCTTCTCTGGAGCGGTCTCCAGAGGCGTGGTTGGGGGTTAGGGAGTTGGGGCAGGGGATGCGCAGCAGAGAGGCGCGCCGGCGTAGTTGCCTGCGAGGCGAGGCGTATCGCGCGCCGGCCCGGCCAGCGGCCGGGCGGCTGGGGTCGTAGATCGGGGAGGGTGAGCCTCGGTGAGGCAGAGGGGAGCGTGCGCACAACAAGCTTCGTCGCATTACTTGCTGAACGTGAAATAAAAGGGTTTGGACATGTGCAGCTCCCGCCTCCCCCTCCTCCTGCCACGGCCACGGCGTCCACAGCCCCACCCTCGACGAGTCTGTCGAGTGCCGCTGCACCGCGGGCTGGAGCCTGGACTGGCCGCTGGTGCGAAGTCCGTGCGCCGCGGCCGTGCAACGTGGCCCGCTCGCGAAGCCAAGTGTGTCAGCTCTCAAGTCGTGCGCTCGCGCTAGAGGGAGCGGACCGTGAGTTGAGGAAATCGAGGGACGCGACCCACTTCGCCACAGACGGTCCCGCGCCTCGCCGCTATGACCGCTGCACGGCCCATACCATCCGCTGTGCAGCGGTCTTTGTCCGGAGTGAAAAGTCCAACGCGCTCGTCGGTGGCGGTGTCCCTCGATTTCGCCGCGCTCGGCGAACCTCGACAGCGCTTTCGGTGGCATGCAGCTCTTTGCGACAGAAGCCTGGAGAGCAGCTCCTCTGCTGCTCACACACTCTTGCACAGGTGACACAGCCTACTGTGCGGCTGCCACAGCTGTGACAGCGATGGGCTCGCCCTCACTGGCCCTCAGTCACTTGTGCTGCGGCTTGTGTGAGCGACACTGCTCGGCGACGGCCGGCACACTGTGAGACCATGGGTGGGAGGTAAAACCACGGTACCAGCGCTTGGTCACATCGGCCCCGAGGTCAGATCCATCTACTCTGTTAGTGACAAGACTTGTCTACTGGCTGGAGCCGAGCAGGAGGGCCCAGCGCACAACCCCTGGTCAACTCAGGGTCCACACCCCGTAGCTGCCGCCGTCGCTGCTGCGCCGCCCGCTGCTGTGAGAGGGAGGGCTGCGGCTACGGTCGCGTCGGCGGCGGCGCGGGCGGCGCTCCTCGCTGGAGGACCTCTCGTCGTCGCCGTCTGCCGGCGAGCGCGAGCGCGACTTGCTCGCAGACGCTCTCACGCGCTCGCGGCTACGCTCGCGCCGCTCGCGGCCGTCGCTGTGGTCGCTACGGTCGCGGCCCCTGCCATCGCGGCTGCGGCTGCGGTCGTGGCTGCGGCTGCGGCTGCGGCCCCTGCGGCCGCGGCTGCGGTCGCGATCCCTGCGGTCGCGGCTGCGCGAGCGGTCGCGGCCGCGCTCACGGCCGCGCGAGCGGTCGCGCCGCTGCGGCGAACGCGAACGGCGTGGCGGGGGAGGCGGCGGCGGGCGCTTCCGCGGCGGCGACTGCCTGGCAGCGGCGGCGGCCGGCGGCCGCGGCGGCGGCGCGCTGTGCTGCCTCTTGGCGTCGGGCTTGCTCTCCGCGACGTTGATCTTGAGGGAGCGGCCCATCAGGTCCTCCCCGTTGAGCCGCGCGGCGGCGGCGACGAGCTCGGGCGAACCAAACTCGACAAACGCGATGCCGGACGCGCCACCCGTCTCGCGGTTGAGCGGCATGCAGGCTGCGGGCATAGCTTTTGCCACCACTGCGTGACGCGGTGCGCTCACGCCGACCGCTCGCTGCGCTGCCCCCTCTGCCGCAAGGCGCCGCCGCCTCCGGCCAAACCACCGCCGCTAAAATGGTACGTGGTCGCCACTCCGACTGGAGGGATGGTCGCCTGCCTTTGCCCGACAGAGCGGGATGGGCTGCAGGCAGCGAATGACACGTTTGACCACGGTTTCAGCCGGATGGTCGAGCTGACCACCGACGACTACTGGCGCCTCCTCCACCGGCGCGGCCCGCCGCCGCGACTGAGGTTGCGCGATCGGGCGGTGGCGAGGCTCCGCCTGCCCGGGCGGCCGAGGCGGCCAGCGACGGTCCCCGCGTGGCGTTTCCGCGTCCCGCGCCCCGGACCGATCGAGAGCGCGCTCATCTTTCTCGGGGAAGGCGTCGAAGAACTCCTGGAGCTCTTCGAATGAGGCGGCGAGCGTTCCCCACGTGGGGGCGAGGCCGACGCTAGCCGTCGAGGCCCCGTCGCCTCGTTTGCAGAGCACTGCCACACGTTCTTTGCTGCCGGCTTGCGCTCGGTTGGGGTCGGCGGCAGCAGCGGGCGCCATGGACTGTGAAAGAGATTTGTTTTGTTTTCGAGAGGCGAGGTGCTAGTTTTGATTTCACGATCAATAATAACATGGTGGCAAACGGAGCACAAGCCACGCGCTTCAATGGAGAGTGTTCCCAAGCAAAGCCGGTGCCGAGCCCAAGGTGGACCTCCCCGCGCTATGCCTATGGGGTCGTGTTCTCGCTCCGGAGTTATTGGAGTTGCTCTCGGCAACACGCCTTAGGCTCCGCCGGGGCCTGCGGGCGCGCCAGACTAGAGCGATGACGACGAGCGAGAGGGACCCTTTTTCTTAGAGTCTGGCTGCAAGGCCCGGTTCTTGCAGCTGCTGCTTGAGCATTATCACGGCACGGCAGCAACGGGCGTGCTCAAATCATCCGCGGGAGATCACTGGGTGTGGTTGGACGAGAGTGGCTGCCAGTATGAGGTCGGCCACGTCGACAGCATCGCTCTCACACGCGGCGTTCCTCCGAGTCGGACTGAGCCGCAGCCTACCACTCCGCCGCTCGAGCTCGTATTCACTCTCTGCTGGCGCTGCACCAAGGCATCGCTGCTCGCGCTGGTCACCGAGATGCGTAACCTCGCAAATAAGGAGGAGCGCAACACAAAGGTCAACCAACTTGGACGGCTGGCGTTTGAGATCTTGCCGCATTCTGAACGACGGCTATGTTGATCGCGCGACATTGAGGCGCTCCGCAACCAGAAGGGTGACGGCGAGTGGAGCGTGGAGCCGCTCCAGCAGCTCCGCGACACGGGCGCGTGCTCCTAGCTCATGGCGCTGCGGGCTCGGCGGCGGCAGTAGAGGGAGGGCCGAGGGACCATACCCCCCCACCCTTTGGGCCGTGACTCTATACCATACCATACCCCGCAAAAAGTTGGAACCTGCAGTGAACTGCTCTCCGACTGTCTGCTATAGCCGCAGCCACTCCCAGCTACTCGGTGTGAACAGAGTTCGTACGAGAGATCCCTCGAGAGTTCACACAAAAACACAACCACGGACCCAAGACGCACAAGCTCAGACAGTCGAGAAAGGGATAGATAGAGCTCTAGCTAGAGCCGGTTGCGGCACCTTGCGAAAATGCAAAAATCCAAATCTCCGGTCTCGTATCGTGTAGGATCGATCGTCTCGTATCGTCTCGTATCGGATCGTCTCGTCTCGGTCGGATCGTCTCGTGTCCGCGCGACGCCTCGGTGCGCCTTCCTCGCGAGAGACGTGAGACGCCAGACACTCGGACAAAATCCTGCCGACCTGGCCAGGCCGCGCGTGGCTGGCGCCAGCTCGTCATCGCAGCGGAGCACCGGAGGCGCGGTTTGCCCGCTGCTGGCTCTCGCCCCGCCGGCGGTTCCACGTGAGTCGCATGGCGGCGCGCTTGAATTGAGCGCCTTTGATCGTCTCGCGGCGACTGCTTGCAGGCCGGGCGGCCAGAAACTGTGCCGCTCAGCCATCCGCCGAAGCGAGCGCGCCGGCGGCGGTCCGCCGCAGGCGCGCTCGGCTCAGTGTCTTCAAGCCCGCCCCCGGTGGGGAGCCCAGTCGGACATCGAGAAACGAGACGACGATCCGAGACGATACGAGACGATACTCGTACGCAACCCGATACGAGACGAGACTTTTTTTGCGTTTTATTTTTCTGAAGGTGCAGCAACCGGCTATAGAGAGTTCACGCGGAGTCGGCTGGACCTATACCTGACAGGCATCTCCGACTTGCATGCTCCGCGCTCGGCTCGCCACCGCCCGCCTGGTCGGCAGAAGGCGCCTGGTCGGAAGAAGGCGCTGCAGCTCTAGGGCGGCGTTTGCAGAGGCGGAGACCGAGCGACCGACGGCGGAGCAGCTCAAACGGCACTTCATCGCGTCCGCGCTGCCAATGGTTGGCTTCGGCTTCATGGACAACACGGTGATGATCCAGGCCGGCAACGCAATCGACTGTACGCTCGGCGTGTCTTTCGGCCTCTCCACCCTCACGGCAGCTCCGCGTTTGGCCAGAACCAGCCACACGGAGCGTGACGTGTGCGTGGAAGCCCTGCGATAGGCCGCCGCCTTCGGCCAGGTCTGCTCCGACTCGGCCGGCGTGCTCTTTGGCGGCACACTCGAGGCGATGCTGAGGCGGGCCGGGCTACGGCCGACGGCGGGCCTCTCCCTCGACCAGCGGAAGCTGCCGCTCGTCAAGCGGGTCGCGCTGCTCGGCTCGCTGGTTGGAGTGGTGAGCTGAGCAGTAGCCATCAGCAGCGCCAGCAGACATCAGCAGCGCGAGCAGTAGCCATCGTCAGCGCAGCTGTAGTCGGCAACCATTCTGGCGGCTGCCTTCCCGGCGGTCTTCGCCGCAGGGTCTCTTCACGGGACTCGGGTGTCTTCACGGCAGCGCGTCTCCTCGCCAGGTGAGCGGCTGCTGCCTCGGCCTCGTCAACTTGCTGCTCATCGACACGGAGCGCGCTCTCGAGAAGAGCGGCTGAGGAGGCCGCCCGTCACCTGGCACACCGGTGTGTGAGCAGGAGCGGCCGTCGACGCTCAAGAGCGATTAATGAATTAATCAATTAATTTAATATTAATTTGATTAATTAGGAGCGGTCGTCGACGCTCAAGAGCGGCGCTCTCGACGGGAGCTTCGACGAGTTTGGCTTCGAGGTGCACGCGGACAACACGGCGAGGCCCGACGCGACGACCCTCACGGTGCGACGCCGTTGGAGATGGGGTGCAGGCGCGGGCCAGCGTCTCTTCACAGCGCTCAGCCGTGAACAGGTGCGCGGGCCCGACATCGACGGCAGAGCTCGCTTCGACGACGGCGGCGTTGACAACCCATCAGGCCACGCACACTCGCTGTCGTGAGCAGGCGTGCTCGCCTCGATGACGGCGGCGCTCGCCTCTGCCGGCTGCAGGGTGGTCGAGATGCACGCGCGCTCGTCGTCGCTCGACGAGCGGCGCGTGGAGGACACCTTTGTGGTGCAGTCGCTCGGCCGGCAGGTCGACGACGACGCGCTCGAGGAGGTGTCGGCGCGGGTGCTGGCCGCCACGAAGGACCCGTTGCAGGCCCGCTCGCTCAAGGCGGAGCTGGCGCGGCTGCAGGAGGAGGTGGCGGAGCTCCGGCGGCGCAACGGCGTGCTCGAGAGGGCGATGGCGCGCGCGGCGATCAAGACCTTCCCTTCCAACGGGCAGGGCTGAAGGCGGCCCTCCGGCCTCTGCGTACGGTGTACCCTCTTCTGTGGACCCACCCTCGTTCTGACTCCCACTCTCAGGTCCAGGCTTTTTGGCCGCCGAGATGGTGTATAATTAATAATACAAAAGCGGCGGGCATACACGTCCTAACGAGCAAAAACACACGGACGCACTCTCGAGGTCTCTTGGAGCAGAACCCCCCGGCCGAGATCTCGAGAGGGCACCCTAAGGGTGGACAGAAAGAGATGGGCTCTCTGGAGAAGGAATTAAGGTCCTTCACGTCACACGTGTGGTCCGCGGCCCACTGTGCCCCGCGCTGGTAGGACAGTGACCGCCGCAAACCTTTTTTTTAGCTCCATGGGATCTCGGACATTTTTTGGAGGCAGAATCTGGGAGGAGGCAGAATCTGGGAATCTGCTCACCACGGATCCCCACACCTCATCGAGAACTTTTTTCACTCCAAGACATACTAGTTTTGTAATAAGTTAGGCAAAAAAGATATGGCATTGCGGGCCATTTTGGGCCCCTTAGACGGTCACTGGAGTAGGCCAAAATCCCCACTGGCGGGGCCGGGAGCAACCTTTATCTAATCCAACATTTTTTGGGGGGTCGGAGCGTAGCGGAGTGGGCCCCGAGTTTGAAAAAGCCGCGCCGCCTTTACACACGCACCTGACTTCTTCGCGCCCTTTCCATACTTCCTGCTTCGACGGGGTTTGTGTTGAGGAGTGACCCGTGCGCCGTGTGCCCCGCAGCGGCCTCGCTGGGCCAGAAGATCGGCCCGCGAGTGCCCGCAGCAGCCTCGTCGAGCCAGAAGATCGGCTCGCGAGGTGGGTGCTAGTATGAGCCCGCTGAGGCGCAGTGCTCTTGCAGAGGCGGTTAGTGGTGCACTAACCCCGAGAAACCCTTCGGGTCACTCCTCATCGCAAACCCTGTCAGCAGTCCTACATGAATGTACGTAAGAGCCACATACATTGTCCCTTTCTCCCGGCCAAGTGGGGCGCGCGTGGGGGCGGCGGGTGTGCGGGCTGTCTGTGGGCCCGAGAGCGATGCGTCATGTGTGTGTCCGCCTTGCGTTTGTTCCATAACATCGAAGGCTAGCTCAAAAAAAAAGACCTGGCCGCCCCCTGTGGTAGCTTAGCGATCAGGGAGGATCTACCTGTTCGGCCTCGAGGAAGCTGCTGGGGGAGAGAGGGGAGGAGAGAGGAGAGGAGGAGAAGGGAGGAGATGAGAAGAGGAGAGGAGAGGAGAGGAGAGAGGGCGCCGCCTCACCGGCCCTCGCCAACGCCTCAAAAGTGGCGCGCAGAGTGAGGCGGCGCACCGAGCGAGCACGTGAGCCCCGTGGCTCCAACCGGGCCCTTCCTTTTTTGAGCAGGTGTGCCGCCGCGCGAGCGACGCTCCGAGATCGCCCGAGATGGCGCGGCGCGGCCCCGAGATCGCCCGAGAATGCGCGAGATCGACCGAGATTGCGCGGCGCGGCCCGAGGCGAGGACCGAGGTGGATGGGTTGGGAGCGAGGGGGCGCAAGTGCTCAGTGCGGTAGATGGTAAGCTCGGGGCGCGTGAGCCGGACTTGTGAGCCGGACCACCCCCTGTTCTTTCCCTCGTTCTCGCACACGGAGTGCGAGGTACTCGGGAGGCTGTCCATCCCAAACTGTCACTCCCCTTTCTCCCGGCCGGGGTGGGGCGCGCGCGGGGGCGGCGGGTGTGCGGGATGTCTGTGGGCCCGAGAGCGATCACAGATCACACACGCGCGCCACACGTCCACGCCTTCGGGTTTCACGCCAGCACACACCGCCAGCACACAGCGAACACGCAGCAGCGCGAAACGGGAGTGCGGCGCGGCAAGGACAGGACGTCAAACCGGGACGTAATCTTTTGCCTCTGCGATAGGGCAGCACCTCGCTGGATCACCTCTCGGCAACGCCTGCGTTCGCGCAGCTTTCACGGCCGTGATCGCTGCGGCGAGCCAGATGAGAAGGCCGAGGTAGAGACAGCCCACCTCGAAGTACTCGGCTTGCCCTGGTCCATCACCGACCAGCAGGAGACCGTTGCGTGAGTCGCGGAACATCCTTATGCACGATCCGAGGAACAAGAGGATGAGGGCAGGAACGAGATGGCTAAAGCACAGAAAGGAGCGCACACGCGAGGCGCATGCCGCGTTGCGACCAACATGGGCGAAGATGCAGTCGGCTGCGCAGATTGCGACGCCGAGGATGACAAGCGAAATTCCGAGTGCCGTGTGCATGAAGATCGCGAGGGGGCGCTTATCGTGCTGGTGACCGATGAAAACCAGTCCAATGAGCAGGTAGCAGCCGGCGTCAAAGAGCGGGCGGTCGCAGCAATCACTTTCCCCCGCCGCGTCTTTCTCGTTCTCGTCTGAGTGCGCGGTAGCTCGCGATCGGAGTTGGCGTATCTTCCGAAGGCAGTCGACGTGACCGAATGCGCCGAGGAGGACGGCAAGCCCAAAGTAAACCAATCTGTGGCCGATGTTGAACGTCGAACCCGAACGTCGAGCGAATCCAAACACTAAAGCGAAGAAAAGGATTGTGAATGTTCCAGAGCCGATGCAGCCCTTCCACCATTTGATCTGAAGCGGGCTGCCGTCATTGAGCATCTCGTTGCCGGCTGCGCACAACAGAAGACCCGCAACTGTGTGCGTGTAGTAATCGGACGCCACATCCCAGTAGATGTTGGCAAATGCAGCCTCCGCAGCACCAAGGCAGGCGGCTGCGACAGCGACCGAGACCCGATGCGAAAACCGAACGGTCAGTGCAGCCAGCGCACCGGTCATGCTGATCACGGCAAAGGCACGCAGTCCTCGGGTAAGGCTCGGCAGCTGTCATGCTGGCAGTTCATCGACTGCTGCAGGCTTGAGCCACAGGCAAGCAGACCACACGATCCCTTGTGCTCGAATCTCGGCGGCCAAGATTTTCCCGCACCCCGTCCTCTTCTTGTTTCCTTTCTTCTTTGTGCCCAGTGTTGTGCGAGGGAGCTTTGTCGTATTCCCCTTGAGCACTTGAGCACTGGATAGGGTCGATTCCGCATGGTACGGGACCCCTCGATCGTCTCGCCCTCCCTCACTGGTGTGTTCATTGGGTGGGGGGGTCATAACCCTTTGTTATTCAAATTCCATGTTCACAGCAATTGTCTCCCCTTTGATTTACGTCCGTTCCAGCAACCTTTCTCTTCTTGGCCTGCGAAGCGTCGCAAAAGAATTTCAACCGAAACAGGAGGTGTCGCGATGTCCCTGATCGTCCTTACTTACAAGATCCTGCTCGTGCAGGTGTGGGGACCCTGTCTGTCCTTCTCCCACCCCTTGTTTGGTGTGTCCGTTTTATTTATTCTCTGTTGCTAGCCTATCGCATTGCACCTTGCTGCGAGCATGCGGCGTGCCGAGCTGCAGCTCGAGCGCCGGTTAGATTCTTTTCTCACCTCCCGGCGCGTTGCCCAGATGTCCTCTCGTTTATCCCCCTCCCTGAGCCGGACCCGCAGTGCGTCCACGCTTAATTTGCTGCGGTATTGGGCGACCTCTACGCAAACCTCTTTTAAAGCATCGCAACTCTCAAAAACGGGGGTCTCATACCTTAGTCCTTATCTCCTGCTGTCGCACACACGACAATCCAACCTGCGCTCACTCAACACCAGCTCAACACCGGGCAGACCAGTCACCGGCGCCGTCGCTTCACCATGTGTATGTGTGCATGAGCAGGCGC